TTTTTGTCTGATTAGTAACCACCAAAATCTTTCGCATGTGTTTGGTCCAAATCCAGACAATACTGTCTGTGCGTCATATGTTTGGTATTTTGATATTTTTGTCAACATTGCGTGGGTTTCTTCCTTCCACCGGTTCGGTGTGGTCTCTGTCTGCGTCTTTCGTGTGGTGGTTGACATGTAACAAAAGTTTCTGACCCGCCTAGCTCCTGCTTTAGCAAGTAGTGAAAGAGGCCTCGAGGAGGTATTTGCCTTGTTTTCTTCATCTCCACTTTTGTCTGAAGTGATGCCAAGACAATAGAGAGTAGTGTGCATGTCTTCACACCAGCTGAGACAGCTCAAAGCATCTCTCAGTCCAGATTTCCACAACTCGCCCACTCATTTGATGTCTTTGAGCCTACGCTTTCCTCTTTGGCTTTTCTGTCTTTAATGACCTGTGTCATCTCATCATTCTTTCACATGGTGCTTTAGATTACTCTTGTATCGTAGGAGTCCTGATTTGCTTAACTTCTGTCAGCAAAGTTTATATGAGAAAGCTAAAATCTCTTATCAGGGTGGTGTGTTTTTTGTAGCCCTTGTGTTGAAGCTATTGATCATAAATATGGAAGCTAAAATTACCTATGTAGGTGGGGAACCCAATTTTTTCTACATTTTTAATAAATTCAGTAGGCTCCCTTATTCTTGATGGCCAGTCTATTTTAATCACTTTATTAAACATAAAACGTATGTGTCTGTACAACATATAGTATCAAGTGTGATGGAGTTGGTCTCATGAATGTCATTGAAGTCATTTAAATGTCATCCAGTAGTTTCTGAAAGTGTCTATGTGAAAGAGATGCATTTTGTTTAATTTGGACAGTCACATAACTTATATGAGCTCACTCTCTTTGCAAAGTCAATATAAAAATATTTCCATTTTGATGTCATAGTACGGAATTAACTCATTCTTGCTTCTATAATTGCTCCACGTGCATCTTGAAACCAAAAAGAGCAATCACTTACCTACAGTGTTTGTGTCTTTGCTTACGCATCTAAGGTGCACTCGTAACATGTGCACGCAGAGCTTGATTGATGTGTGAGATAATTTCCTATTTGGCAAACATTTACACATACACTCTGTCATTTGCAGCCTGTTTGAATTGGCTGTGGCACCTTCCTGATTGGCTGGTTTCAGCGAGGACTGCTTGAGATGGATTTGTTTGACTGGGCACTCTGAAATAAGAGCATGATTAAAAACTGCATTGCTTTCATTTTACCCCTAGCTGGCCTGAGTACTTGAGACTCTGTTTCATTCATTTAGTAATTTTCCTATATTATGGCTGCAAGATAAAGGTGGGGCAGAGATCAATATATATA